TGTTTGTTTGTTTGTTTGTTTGTTTGTTTGTTTGTTTCCTCCTGTGGAACACTTGTTTGATGTCACGGTGCAGACAGAGTCCATAAAGGGCTCAGAGTGTTTGTAGAGAGTCTTCATGAAGCTGATGGTCTGGCAGGAGGACAGCCTTCAGCCGTCTGGAGCTCAGTCTCAGAGTCTGGGAGTGGACGCTGGCAGCAGAAACCATCAGAGGGCTGCTGAGTTTAAACACGTGGTTTCATGTAGTTATGGACTCATTTCTTATCTGACAGATTCTATATGAGTGATTTTGCCTGTTTAACTATTTAACTATCAGACAAAGGAGTCCTGAGCTGCTCCTGCTTCACCAGCCACTGGTTCAGTGGGAATCACTTTATTCTTTATGCTGGTTCAGGGGTCGGCCATTGCTGCTAAGTCCTTTTATTACCAACCCTTTTATTTAGGACATAGTTTTTAATAGTTTCAGGAGTTTAATTCTTGCCAGAATTCGTACAGGTAAACTAGGACTGCTGACCACAGTCCGTGGGTTCATGACGGGTTTGAAGTCACCTGAACAACAGTCTAAAGTGTGATTCTAGCAGGACTTATCTGATTCTCTACCACTCCTCACATGTGTTGAGGGTCATTGGGGGAACATACAGCTACGTCCAGGCCCAACCTTCAGGGGAAGCACTGCAGTCGCTTCTCTGTTACGCTTAGTTGAGTCTCGTTACCATAGTGACAATAACCGCCATGTAAACCCTGGGCTTTTATTTTAAAATTCAACTTGAAAAGACCAAACCCTTCAGCACCCAGGACCGGAGCTCCAGGCCAGGCAGCCAGAATGACCCGCAGGATGGGAAACCGGTTCAGGTCAGGAGCACAAACTAACGTACGGACATGAAACAGCTGACCAGGGTCCAAGGCCACCAAGGGCCACGGCATGCTGCCTCACTCACCAACATGTACAATAAAGAGCTATCCAGTGTGGGAGGAAGTTCTGTTCAGGAGCTGTGCACAGCGTCCACATGTGAGGAGCCGACAGTGTTTGGATCCTGCAGACATCCATGAAGGCTGAGAGAAGAACATCATGGCTGAAGGCAGGATTTCATCATGATGTTTGTTGATCTGATTGTGACCAGATGCCATAGATCACAGAGTAAACCTGACCTCTGACAGAACCAGCACAGCACTCTGAGACGGGTCTCCGGGCCTGTCCGTCCCACCACCAACACGGTGTCTGTTTTATTAAACATGTATTTCCTCCGCGTGCATGCAGCGTTCAGCTCCTTCGTTTTAATGCCGTGTGCTTTGTGTAATCCACTGCAGACGATCAGTGCTGGGCCGGTCCAATCCGGCGAGCCTCCTCCGACCGCGGAGCAGAAACAATGACCAGATTACAGCTCCTATTGAAATGTTCGGCAGTTGAACTCAGACATAATCCCACCATTAATCAAGCCTCTCTGAGAGCTTACACTGATCTGTAAAGAAGAAAGGACAATGACATTTTTGTTTATTTTCTTTACTTATGTGAGTGTTTGTTGTTTTTGTTTGTTGTTTGTGGTTTTGTGGTAACTGAAGCAGTAACTTGTCAGAATAAGTCTGTATAGGTCAGGCTGGAGGAGGGAGTCCACTGAGCTATTTATTATTTTGTTGATGTAGGTTCATTGTAGATAAAAACCTTCTGAGGAAAAAAAACGTGGAGAGAAGTCCTGGGTTTATTTTTGCTAAGCTTAATTATATTTCTAAATGCTTCAGTGAGGTTTTCAAGAGCAGCTATCTGTAATGAGTAATATTTCATATTTATGAAGCATCTGCATAATAAAGATAAGGTATTCAATTAACTGAGCCATAAAAACTCCACGTTATTAAATATTAATCATTCCACATATTGCTTTGATTTCTAACTACTTAATTACAAACACAGTGCTTTGCTGCGGCGCCGTGCGTCGGGCATCTCGCCGTCTCTCACAGGCTGTACAGTGTTTTGCAAAGCACTTCACACAGCAGCTAAAGCATGTGTGAGCAGGAGGGCCACCCACTCCCACTCCCACCAGCTGCTCCTTCACTGTATGACACCAAACTGGTTTCTCTTTTATTACTGGTTTCAGATATGCTGCTGCTTATGACAGTCCCCCTCCCCCTCTCAGTGTTTCAATAGGATCAGGTCCAGATCCATTGGTCCCATGTCAGCGTCTGATCTTCTGTTATTGCCTTAAACAGCTCCCTGTGAGGACGCTGGGCCTGTTCACACCTCCGCTGGGTCTCCTCTGCAGCTCCAAGGGCAGCCTGCCACTCAGATGTAAATGTGCCATTATTGTGACTTTATCTTGGGGGGACAGTTTCCGTTTACGGTACACTGAGCAGAGCCATGGAGGTGGAGAGTCATGGATCGCCTGAGTTCTGCATGTTTATGTTCCGCCAACAGCCGTCTTCCTACTTTAATGCAAAGTGCAGTCAGCTTCCTGACAAATGTTTATCACATCACTGATTGATGGGTTGGGTACCGATGACATCACTGATTGATGGGTTGGTACCAATGACATCACTGATTGATGGGTTGGGTACCGGAAGACCTGGATGACCTGGAATCTCCTTCATTTAAATCCAGACAAACTGAGGTTCTTGTATTTGGCCCTAAACACCTCAGAAACACACTCTGGAACCAGATAGCTGCTTTGGATGGCATCGCCTTGGCCTCCAGTTCTACTGTACAGAACCCTGGAGGTATTTTGGACCAGGACATGTGCTTCAACAGTCAAGTCAGTAGAGCTGAGGGCTGCTTCAAAGACATGCTGATATAATCCTGAAGCAGAGACTGATTAAAGCACGATGTTGTTCTACTCTGTGACCTTATAACATGTCTAATAAGCTACTGACTGGTCTGAATGGTGTGACTGGTGTGTAGGGGTTAGGGGTATGTTTGTTTTTGCTCCAAACCTTTTAATACCTTCAGAGCTGCAGATGAAAGATTGAAGCACAAACTGTCTTCAGCAATACTGGAATGAAGCTGAATGTGAGATTGCTAAATTAATTTTCTACATTTCATTATGAAAATACTCTGTTTTTAATTTCTTTTATCCATAAGGAACTATGTGTAAGTTTGTTATACCACCTTGTGTTATAATAATATTATATGATAATTAAACAGAAGGGTGAATCCTGAAACCTACATCTAGTCAGCTGGACTAAACTGCAGATACGGTCAGATCTGGCTGATGATGGGACATTGAGAGCGACGAGACATACGACTCACATCTACGCAGCAGCTGTGTTGCTTTAAACAAGTTCATGTAATATTGTATTTTATAATATTATTTTAAATGTCTCATAATGGATGGATGATTTTGGATTATTGTGTGTTCCTCTTGTGAGCACTATGCAGCAGCAGACCTGTCCAGGTTGGTAACTGCTTATCTGGAGTCAGCGATGCTCTTTTCATGTTTTCATGTGAATGCACTCGTAGCTCGATCTACAAAGTCTGGACTGACTCGCCGAGTTGGACTTGTGTGACTGCTTAGAGGTGATGCTGCTTACATCGGTTACACCAATGACACCATCCATCCATCATCTCTACACCTTCATCCTCACTAGGGGGCGGAGCCTATCCCAGCTGACTCAGGGTGAAGGCAGGTTCACCTGGACAGGTAACCAGTCTATCGCAGGGCTACACTTAGAGACAGACAACCAAGCACACTCACATTCACACCTACGGACAATTTACAATCACCAATTAACCTCAGCATGTTTCTGGACTGTGGGAGGAAGCCAGAGAACCCGGAGAGAACCCACGCTGCACGGGGAGAACATGGAGACTCCACGCAGAGACACAGGTAACCACTCCTGAGCCATCCCCACATCACCTGTCCTGTATTCAGTCTGTATCCAAGGACAGATGACAGCTTATCACTGTAGATTCCAACCTGTGAGTCAGTCAGGATATAAAACGCTGACTTTATTCTCAACTATGGCTGTGTTCTTGTAGAATTCTTTGTCTTTCTTAACATATTGTGTGTTTTCTAATAGCTAAACAGGACACGTGTGTGTGTGTGCAGTGTGAAGGTCAAACAGCCTCCAGATGTAGCAGAAGGTTACTAAAGGACTTGTTCAGGTTTCATCTGTTTCCTGTTGGTCAGACATACAGGCTGATGGAGGTTAGACATAAACTCATCAAGACGA